ATATATTTTATCACATACCTTATCTTATTTTCTTCTTGCTTTATTAAGAGAGCATTTTGATTAAAAGTAAATTCACGTAAATTATTTTATTGAAAAGATAATTATATTTTTTTTAGAAGTAATTCTTGTATATATTATCTTATTAAGAAGATAATTAGTTATATAATCTCTTAAGGCTACAAAAAATAAATAACTATCATGAATATAGTCACTATTATTATTTTAAAATAATTATATATGTATAATCTTAAAATGATAATAATATATATTATTAAACTATTAGTTAGAATTTTAATTTAAGTTTTAAATAAAAAGTTATAAGCATTTTAAATTAAATACTTCTTATATATTTTGATTAAAATTGAAATATATCATATAATTTTTTTATTATATGAAAATAATTTTATTAGTTAATTATAATAATATATTATATATGAATAATTTTTATTAGTTTGATATTAATAATTATATAGTCTAAGTCTTATACTAAGCCCTCCAAAAAATTAATTGCATCTAATCATTTTAAGAAATACTATTTAATTAGCATTTAAATAAACTTTTAAGAGCATATTTAAAATAAACTTTAAGAGTTACTTATATCATATCCATCTTCTGAGCCTAGCCTATCAGAAAATATTTAAATACTTAATAGTATTTTATACAAAAAGATAAAAGTAAATAGTTAACTTTCTCAGGAAGAAGAACTACTTTCTTTGCTAAGAGATAGATCTCTTAAAAGTAATGACCATTATCAAAAATAAAGAAATTATCAAAATAAATATATAAACAGAAGAAGAATTAATGAAGTTTCAAGAAATAGAAAAAAAATTCATCAATGATATTCTTGGATAATATAAAGATGCTACAAATAAAGATAGTACAGTAAGTATGTGATACTTATTTATCACCTGTTGCAATATGTTACAACTTCAAAATTTTATAAGTGATAACTAGTTGTAACTAGGTGATATTTTATTTATCACCATATTGCAATAGTTGAGAAGTTATCTTTAGCTGTAAATAATCTTAGATCAGTATATACTGAAAATTCAAGAATGATAATATAGAGATAAAAAAGAAAAAATACAAAGAGCATGTAAAAAGAATAAAAAAGCTTAATATATTTTTAATTAATTTTTCAAAGTAATATATTAATATTTCCATCACTAGAAGTCTCTCAAGCTATTTTTTAGCCTAATACTAATATATTATTATTATTATTATTAAATGTACATAAATTATTGAAAAATCTTTATATCTACTTGAAGATACTTGATCAGAAGTATTTAATAAGAAAGAATATTAAGATAAACTATTAAGTCTTTACATATAATTATTTATATCTTTTAAGTATATATTAATTTATTCAATTATTATTAGAAAAATAAGATAAGATAGATATCAGCAAGCAAATTATATAAGATATATGGAAGAAAAAGAAGTATATATTCAAGTGTATTTAAAATAAGATAATCATTTCATAAAGATAGAAAAGCTTCTTGTTTATTATCAAGAAAAGTATACAAAACTTAAAAATTTGATAGAAAATAAAGATTTTTTCAAAAACTATCAGACATGATTACAGTAATAAAAATCAGAAGCTCAATCTTCCAGTAATCTAAAGATATATATCAAAAAGATATTATTTCTAAATTTGATTAGCTATATTAAAAAGAATTCTATTTCTGAGAAGATATATCATAACTATATATATATATAGAGATTTATATATAATAAAAGAAGAAAGAGTATTTATTTTGATAAGTATGAATATTCAGATATAGTAAAATATAGGAAAAAATAGGTAAAAAGGATATTAACATACAAGAATAATATAAAAAACTTTGATAAGAGCATGTTAAATATTATATTAAAACTCTAGCTTTAGCTAAAAGAAAGAGAATTTATTTAAATAATATATGATGAATATTATTTTTATGTTAATGATAGATAAAAAGAATCTGAATACAAAAAAGAAAGAATATTCTATACTTGAAATATATAGAATATTCTATTATAATTTTAGCTTTTCTCTATCTATATCATAGGTTATTATAACTATTCAACTAGCAATTACATGAAAATTTACATATTAAATACAAGAAATTATTTATTTTTTATTCTGTTCAAGCTGATAAGTATTAGAGATCAAAGCATATATTAAACTAATTTATTTATAATATTAAAGATATTACATTTTGAATATACTAGAGTTTTCTATTTTAATTAATTAATCAATCACAATTCTATAGCAAAGAATGCATTAATTACAACAAAAATAAACTTGAATTCTAGAGAAGTACAGTCTAAAATATGTAATAATTAGTATATTAATAAATATAATAAGAAATATATATAACTGATAATATTTTCTGATAACTAGCCAGTAGTATAATTGAGAAAAAAGCTAAAAAATATCAAGCAAATACTTTCAGAATGCAATTTTTGATCTATAAGAAAGATCTATTTGATATATAAAAAATACTTAAAAAAATATATTAATAAAAAATCTGAAAGATTTGATTACTACATATAAAGAATTATATTCTTACAATCTGACTTTCTTAAATAGTAGATATTATTAGAAAAAGTAGTAATTAATATAAATTATATCTTAGAAAGATATTTAAAATTTTATTATGAATATAATTTTATAGAATACTATTGAGATTATGTGAAATGAAAAACTAGAAAGATATGTAGCTATAACTATATAGAATTATTAAAGCAGATTCTAAAAATTCTTAATAGTATATCTATAATTACTATTTACAAGTTTGCATACAAATCTTGAAGATATATAGATATATATAACAAAGAATTAGAAGATAGATGTAATAAAATTAGAATAATTATATTAGATTTATATTTTATTTTACAGATTATTGCTATAACATATACTGTATCACATGTAACTTATTATATCATAATTATCTAATTATATCAAGAAAAGTCACATGATATATTTAAGTTATTTTAACCACAGATAGTTTTCTTAGTAGAATTTCTCTTTTCTCTTATTTTACTAATTTAGTTAGCATATTATTAAATTTATATATTTTATTTATAATTATTTATTTCTTTATTTATTCATTAATAAGCATCTTCTGAAGATACTATCATATAAGTATTAACTATTATTAATTTATTTATTTTATGTAATATTAATTTTATTATTTAAAAATGTTATATCTGTTCTGTAATTTTAAGTACTAATTATCTTGAATAAAGAATAAATTTAAAATATAATCTCTTGTCTGCTTTTGATTTAGTTTTCTGTGTGAATTCTATCTCAAATATAATATTATATCCTGACTTTTCTGTATGAATTATCCAGATATATTATATTATGTAACTAGAAAATTACAATAGAGTTACTGAGTGAATAGTTAATAAATTCAAGTCATACTGTAGAATCTCAGAGAATATTAATCAAATAATAAAAGTAAATAAAGTAAATAAATAAAGAATAAATAGTCAGATAAATAAATAAGATAAGTGAAGGGAAATAAACTAATAAATAGATAAATAAGTTACATTAATGCATAATGTAATATTACATTAAAAAACTTAAATAAAAAATAATAAATAATTAAAATTTTATTATAGTAATAATATTTATTTAAATAAATAATAATAATTATTTAATATGATTATAACACATTCTTAATTATTATTATATTATTAGCTATATTATATGATATATTATATTACATCTATATTACTTAATGCTTGTTATATTATTAATTACATTATATAATATAATATATTACTTTGTATATACAAAATTAAAATACACTCATATGATTGATGAGTTAAGATTTTCTACATCATATTTAAATAATTTTTTTAAATTTAATTATAAAAACTATATAATAATATTATTAATATTTTTTTCTGATATCTTTTACTAGAAATTAAATAATCATCTAATTCTGAAAGTTATTAAAGCTAAACTTTCAAAGTTTTTAGATTTAATTATAAAAATCTTTTATAATTTTTTTTATAAAAGTATACAGAAATATAATACATAATAGATTATTAAATATAAATAATATATTAATTATTTATATCTGGATTTAAAGAAAACTTTATATATTTACATGAGCAGTCTATAAATATTCTGTATATGATATTATAGTATTAATAAATAAATATTCTTATTTTCTTTTATAATATTTTTTATAAATTTATATTTATTTATTTTATAATAAATTATTACTAATATTTCTATTATAAACTATTATAAGTTTATCTTCAAAAAATAAAAAGCAAAATGTTTTGATAATATTGCCATTATAATGAGAATACCAGAAGTATAATTATATTATCTTGAATTTTAATATCTCATGTAAATTGGATTCATTTTATTATTATAATATATATAATTATTCTATTTTTTTATTTATTAATACAAATTCAATTATTTTAGCTTATGATTACAGTTATCATAAATATTACTATGCTAGCAATAGATTTGTATGTGTATTATCTCTCCTTTTTAAAAAATGATATTGATAAGCATGTTTAATCTTTATTAGAATATTTATGATCTCTTAATAAAAAGAAAAAAAAGAAGAAAATAGTACAAGTTAAAGTAACTCCTTATAATAATAATGAGAACATATACCAGTAAAATATGTATTGGAGAAGGTATTACATAAATTTCAATAGCAATAAATAGTTTTATAATTTTTATTTATTACATTATTATTTCGTTTCTAATTAAATATATACGTACATTAAAAATCACGCGATCCTATTTTAAAAATTATGCAATTTGATTGGTTAATTATCACGGGCAATCACGGGTAGATCAATAAAAATTAACCAATCATATGAATGTCTTCCTATGACCCCAGAATACGGTAAATATGGCTAAATCTGTTAAATGACTTGCCTTGCTTTAACGAACCCCCAGGATGGTTTATCAACCCATAGCATTTTAATTCATATAACTTGTGATGTAAACGTTTTTTTTGTAATTCACCAAAAAAGCCATGTCCATAAACAAGAACAACCATCATCACCCTGATACATTCGATACATTCTCAAGTGGACCGACCGATTCTTTTGCCACACCACCTTTAGCGTCATCAAGTAATATAGTCCCAAACACTTTCACACCTGAGAAGAGCAGTCCATCGCGAAAACTAAAATTTAAAAGTATTTACATTAGTCATGCACAGAAATCGGACTTGATCGCTTTTATTTTCACGTTGCTTGCGTTTTTCTTGATGCTGTTTGCTCTAGTGGCTTCTAGCTCAAACGCAGTACGCGGGGTATATTACGTTGAGCTACGGTTGACAGACCAAAAGGCATTGGCGAATGTGACTCAAGGGGGAGTAACCTGGATTCAGTTTGGATTTTATGGATATTGCTATGGGAAAAATGAGCTTGAGTTTATTGACTGTGCATCTGGGTCGGGACTGACTGTTGAACCTTTTGGTAGGGATTTCTACTTGCATATCATCACTCATCATTTTTAAACTCTTGGTTAATTTGGATACGTATAATGTTTAGATCCACTTCCAATAATGCAAAATTATTTTCCACAAGTTGTAACAAACCTCACAATTACTTGGATAAATCCATCACATAATTCAGGTAAAAAAATAATTATTTATAGATAATTTATTACCTAGCTTTCATAATAAAAAATGATTCCAACCATCTTTCATTCTCAAAGGCATAACATTTACAATTTACCTTATACTGGTACTCGCATTATCCGCTATTGCACTCTCCGTCTGTCAAAACATTCTCGGGTTCTATTATGACAAACATTACACTCGTGGATTTCTACTTGCCCTTGCGTTCTCGGCAAATACTCTTACCTTAGGTTTAGCAATCCATTTGTATACCGATGGACTGCGGTTGATATATGAGATGTATCCACAGTTCACGGGAAGTTTCGGTAATGGACTTTGGTTTATTGGCATTGCGACTTTTGTTAATCTTGCAGCTTCGATACTGTTCTTTCGTGGATGCTGTACATCGACAATATTGTAATTGTAATAATTATAACTATAGCTGATTCAATTAACTTGCTATCTTTCAGATATATATATATGATATTTATGTTTTGATGAAAGATTTCAAATTCATTGAAATCAGAAATATAATTTGTAAGTGTAAATATGAATAGATAATAGATGATTTTTTGTCAACCATGTATTTATTTATTTATGTTAATCTACAAATTTGGCATTATTCTTGCATTCAAAATCAAAAATAAATATAAATAGAACAAATAAAATAATAAATAAATAAAGAATACTAGTGTTATTAAAAGCTCATTTCATAATTTATGTTAATCTAATTCTGATGACTGATTAGCTTTAATATTTGCAGAAGTTGACGATGTGCCACCAACTATAGTACTTGAACTAGTGCGGCTACCACCAGGAACCCCGGGCTGTGAAAACAAACTGCTCATTAGATCTTGTAAAAAGCTCAGTTGTTGTGGTCGCTGCACTTGTATATTGAAGAACACTTCTCCGATTCTATTTAAAAGCTAACATTTTATCAAATAGTAGAACCGAAAATTAAAAATAAAAAAATTGATCATCAATTCTAACGCGACTAACAAATACTCACATCTTCAAAAGAAGGCTCAATTGCCAAACAATCTTTATATTTATTACGTAAAGCAGTAAACAAATCTGGCGCATCACGTTGTACCATCAAAATTAAAAGCTGCAGGAAATTAATCAGTGGGGCGTTATCATAGATGGTTATTTCGATCGAGTCACCGGTCAACGTTGGGCGATAGGAAACGGTGTCGGTTGCTAGGCCTGGATTTTTAGATAAGATTTCTGCAACAAAACTGTCAAATGCTATTTTTGCGTCGCGAATGCTTCGTAAACATAAGTATCTATTGCGATGATTTGAATATACATAATTTCAAATACAGATATAAATAAAGAAAAAGAATTAATCTATGAGTTGGCTTACTGTAATACGGCACGGGCGAGATAAGCCCCCCGTTTACTTGGATCATCTTGGCTCGACCATTCTGCCAACATTTTACCATATGACGCGCTACTAGCAGATGTACCCGCAAGAAAGTGTGGTTCCGCTTCTTGATAAATTTTGTCTAACAACCGATTAATTCATACGTAAACGCAAAAGGTTAGTAACGATTCAAATCCACAGTAATTATATTTATCAATTCTTTTATATAAGAGAAAGAAAAAACCTTTCCAAAGTAATTCCGCCACATAATGATGCAACGCGGGGTCACCAGCTGGACTATCACCAGTTTTAATCGACCAACTGTTTTTTGTATTATAAATATTTTTATTTTCTTAATACCATAATTGGAGATTTTTTATTATTGTAAATTTATTACCTTATAGCTGCATCAATGAATCGTTTTCGACCGGGTTCATCATGCGGGAAAAGTTCCAGCAATTTAATTATTCGATCTATCAATTAATAGTCCATGAAAGGGAGTCAAAATATTGTAAAATCAATAATTAAACAAGGATTTCATAGAGAAATCTCAAAAACAACCTCTTGATTCATCATTAACACTTAATTCTTCTGCTAAATATGCATCAATCAAATACAAAGAAAGATCAGTCCCACTTCCACTTTGCTTATGCTCCAACAGGGACTGCGCTCCAGAGTACAAAACATCGATAGCTTTATCATATTGTTTCTGTTTTATTAAGCTAAAATACGTGTAATATCTGTTAGAAAACCATTCTTCAATTTGCGAAGAATTCGGAAATAACGTCGATATTTTTTTATTTCAAGAAAAACCTGTATTTGTTCTTTTCAGAAATTGAAATTTTTTTAAGATACTTGCCGAAAGAGACAACTTACCGTCTGCAAACGGTACGGTACATTTGATGTGCTTCATAATAGTTTTTATTGTTGAGTGACTCTTGAATCTTCTCGAGAACTTTGTCTGTTCCTTTAGTCGAAGCCATTTTCTATTACTAAGTTAAAAACTATAATTCCGGACCAGATTTATGTTGATCATTCAGGAATTTTATCTATTTTATAAATTAATAATTTCAAATTTTGATTTTCTTCATAATATAATAACCAAATTTACTTAACTCTTAATTATATAATAACTTATTAAAATTATCTATAATTAATTTTTTAAAAATTTTTGTAATTAATTTTGCAAGCTGATTTTTTGAAAAATTTTATTAAAAAATTTTATTTTATGATTTTTGTTTTTTCATAATTTTAAGTAAACTTATTTTCTAAATATTAAAGAATATATATATAAATACTTATGTTATTTGAATAATTATTTAATTTATTATAATTAAAAAACTAATTATCTTTTATTTTATATATCAAAAAATCATATATTAAAATAGAGAATATTAACTTTAATTTAAATTAAAAATTTTTATATATAGTAACTCTTATAATTATGAAAGTATTTGAATAAAATTTTTAAATTAAAATAATTTATTAATAATAATACTTTTTTAAATTTATTTTGAATTTAAACTCAAGTTTAATTTAATATATTTTATAAAAATATAATAAAAAATAATTAAATTATTTATTAATTAAAATTTTATAAGTTATAAAATTTTAAAATTAAAATTATAAATAATAAATTATAAATTTTATTTAAAAAATAGAATTTTATTTATAGTAATAGTTAAAAATAATTCATTAGAAGCTAAATTTATTAATAAAATATAATGAAAATTTAAAATTTCTTTCTATATTAAAATTTATAATTTTATTAAAAGATATTTTTATTTTTATATTAAAATAAAATTTATTAATTAGAGGACAAATATATATAGTAATAATCAAAAATAATGCAATGCTTAAATTTTTTACTAATTATAATTAGTAAAATATGTATTTTTTTTATATATAAAAGTTTTTAATTTTACTAACAAATATTTTTTATTTTTAGCTCAAAAAATAGCTAAAGTTTTCTAGTTTAAC